AGCGATGGCGCAGGTGTGGGCCTCGTTGGGCACGTCGCCTGCCGGGGGGCTTACACGGGCGGGCCGGGCCGGTTTGTTTACCTGCCGCGTCCGTAGGTTCGGCTGATCACGGCTCCTACTGGCCACGGTTCACTGCTCCAGGCCAATAGGACTGCAGGAAACAGCGCAGGCTGAGGAATATGCTGGCCGCCGCTTCCCGCCACCCCTATTGGCCTGGAGCGGCAAACTGCGGCCAGTTGGAGCCGCGATCGGTCGAACCTGCGGACGCGGCAGGTAAACAAACCATCCCGGCCCGCCAGTGTAAGCACCCTGGCAGGCCACGTGCCAAAAGTTGCCAATCCCTGCCCTACCGATATAACTGCAACAAAAAATGGCATCTTCATAGAAAAAAGGAGTAATGAGCACAAGGCTAATAGCTCAAATGGAGGCCCCACCAAGTAGATAAGTACCACATTAAGATTCTAAGATAAAAGTAAGTAAAGTAAAATATGTTATCTTATTGAAGGAAAAACTCTCAGAAGACAAATTTTTCACAAACTTTTTAACTGAAGGATGAGATGGTCGTAAATTTGTGGATGATGTGCAGAGATAGCAGCCAAACAAACACGTAATGAACTTAGCAACAAACCAACAAATAGATACTCGATATGAAGGACTGATGTCTCTCATGGGGAAGAATTAACTGAATGGATGAAAAACATTTTCATTTTGCAGTCCTCGGAGACTGCTTTCTGCTCTGAATCAACAGAGGCGGAGGTGTCAGAGAGATTTCTGATTTCTTTGAACCAGTATTGCCTGAGCCAGTCTAGGGCTATTAGGATGACTGAGGCCTTGTCTGGTCTGACCTTCCTTAATACACGTAGGGTCAGAGGAACTGGGTGATAAACATACAACATGGCCTGAATCCAGGGGATTAGAAAGGCATCTTCTTGAGAATTCAGACTCTGTCCTCCCTTGGAACAAAATACTTTGCATTTCTTGCTCTGGTCAGCTGCAAACAATCTATGCAGGGTGCAACCTACTGATTGAAAATGGGCTTGATGGCCAAATCCTTTAAGGACCATTTATGATTTGAAGAAATATGTCTGCTTAGATTATCTGCCAGCATGTTGTATTGTCCTGGAAGGTGATCTACAGTTAGTATTATGTTGTGCAGGATACATCAATTCCACAGAACGATTGCTTCCCTGCACAAGATTGCCGATATGGTTCCCACGTATGTTTACATAAAACATTGTGGTGGTATTGTTGAGTCTCATCTGTACACTCTGATATTTGATATGAGGTAGAAAGGCCATGCAGGCAAGCCATATTGCTCTGAGCTCCAGGACACTGATATGAACCCAAGCATCTCTTTGAGACCATTGACCCTGTACTGCACACTTCAGCAATGACACATCAGTCACTAATGACTTTGTGGGAAATTCTGAGGAGAACAGACATCCCTTGCAGACCTGATATGGATCTTTCCACCAGTTGAAGGAGTTCAAAACTTCTTGAGGTATGTGTACCCTCATATCTATATTGTGACCATCAGGGTGATAAGCCATCCATTATCACCCCTTACGACAACAGAGAGACAGTCTGGTGTATCAACAGCTGAACATGAGCTCCCAGAATGACACTGCCCAAATGGGATAGTGCTATCCTTGGAATCTCGAATAGGAGCAGAGTGGTTATTTTAACCTTTGTATTTGGCTCTGCAAGAATACTGTGTCCAGTTCTAGTGTCCACAATTCAAGAAGGATGTTACTAAACTGGAACAAGTCTAGAGGAGAGCCACAAGCATGATTAAAGAATTGGTAGACATACCCTACAGTGACAGATTCAAGGTGCTCAATGTATTTAGCTGAGCAAAAGATAAGGTTAAGAGGTGACTTGATTACAGTTTATAAGTACCTACACAGGGAAGAAATGTTTGATAATGAGCTCTTCAATCCAGCAGAAAAAGGAACAACATGATACAATGACTGGAAGTTGAACATAGGCAAAAATTCAGACTACAAATAAAGTGTAATTTTTTTAAACAGTGAGAATAATTAATCACTAGAACAATTTACCAAGGGTTGTAATGTCACTGGAAATTTTAAATCGAGATCAGACGTTTTTCTAAAAGATATGTACTAGAAGGCCTGTGTTATACAGATAGTCAAACTAGACTGTCACAATGGTCCCTTCTAGTCTTGGAATCTATAAATCTATGAAAGAAAAGAAAAAAATCTATAATTGGGGTCACCAGAGTACGTGAAGCCATGTGACCTTAAAACCAGAGACATGTCCTTGAAGTAGTACATAATTTGTTTTGCAGTTCATTTATCAACTCTGACCTATTGTTGAATCTGCTCTGCAGTAGGTACACTCAAGCCATCATGGAATCGATTAGAGTCCCAATAAACTATCTTGTGTGTTGGAATTAAGTGAGACTTCCATGTTCCCTCTCAGTCCCAGTCTGGACAACAGATGTATGATGTACTGAACACTGCTGATCACCTGCTCTGGAGATGATCCTCTCACCAACCAATTGTCCAATAACATGGACACCAGTGAAGCCTTTCCAGGCTGCCTCCTGCTGGAAAGAGAAGGGAGGGGCTGCTTTCAGAGCTCTCTTCTTCCTGGAGACAAAGAAGTGAACCAATCCTCTTTCTTTTAAGGAAGTCTTGAGAGATCTTCCTCTGTGCTTCTGAAAGGTGTGATGCCTATCCCTGCTCACAGCCACAGAGGCAGGAGCAGGCAGGGCCCCAGACATAAAGGCAGTTACAGGAAACTTTTCCCTGAGGACAATCCCAGACTAGAGGGTTCCTGTCTCCCATCTGGTTCAGAGACCAGCTTTATAGCTTTCTCTAAAAGGAACAACTTCATCCCGATGTCTCTAGATTTAGTTGTCCTCGTTGTAAGGATTTTACAGTTCTTCAACTTTTCTTTTATATATCCCTCACTTTAAAGCCTGGCTTTTTCTGTCCCAACATCATGCCAGACTCACCCATCCCCACCTCCCATACAGGGTAAAAAATTAACCTAGAGAAAGCTGAAACCTACTAAAACATTACACTGATCACTATACTAAATATCTACTCTAAATAATTAACTATTTACAAAGTCAGAATAAAATATGCAACCGGAAAAAGAGTGGACATTGCTGTCTGGGTCAGTCTCACATCCAGGAGCAGCTGAAAGGAACGGAGGGCCAGTTGGACACTTTGCCTCCCCCCACCCCGTTTATACCTTCGAGGTCACCAGGGAAGCAGATGCAACCAAACAACATTGCTGGCTAAAGCATTTGGATCTCTAGCACATGGGTAGGGTGACCATATGCCCTGTTTTGGCCAGGACAGTCCCTTTTTTAAGCCGTCCTGACTTTTTTGGCAAAAGTTCGGCGTGCACCCCTAGAGGGGCAGAGAGGAATGTGTGTGTGTTTCGGGGGGAGTGAATAGGGCTCTGGCGAGCAGCGACACCAGCCAGGGGGGGAGGGGGCAGGCAGGGTTCGGGCAAACAGTGATGCCAGCCTTGCGGGAGGCAGCAGGGATCGGGCGAAGAGTGACACCAGCCCCACATGGGGAGCAGGCAGGGCTCAGATGAGAGCCCTGTGCGTGGCAGACGCAGGGCTAGGGCCAGCAACTCGGGTCAGTCCTGTGCTTGGGGGGAGGGGAGGCAAGGCACAGGCCAGCCCCACGTGCAGTGGGGGAAGAGGGCACGGAACGGACAGCCCCACGTGCAGGGGGAGAGGGGGTATGGCTTGGGCGAGCAGCCCCACGCAGTGTCCCGTTTTCTCTTTGGGAAATATAGTCACCCTACACATGGGGCATATGCACACCACCAGAAATGGAACATATGCAAATAAGCACTCAAAGAAGAATTACTTACACATTTGTTGTAGTATTAGACAACAGTGACAATCAACATCATTGCTATTTACACACATACAGAACAAAGAGATTACTGTATGTTCCCTCACCTGATGTACTTCTTATGAGTCTGTTCCTGTTGCTCCCAAACAGAAGAGTGCTCTATTTTTAAATAAATACACTTATCATTTCTGGTACAGGCATCCCAAACAATTGGATTAACAATTGAAGAGCCTTTGGAAGGACAAAGTTGGTCTGTCTGTTTCTTTATTAACACAACAATTCCTCTTACTGATGAGACTAGGCCCTATAAGTACAATTGATTAAGATGAGTAATATTTTTCTACTGAGCAGCTTTATGCAATTCTATATAGAAATTTCCACATTTCCCTAGATGCAGTGTGTTACGTACATTACATTTATTTAAAAAGCAAACATATTTTAGGGCCGTCAATTAATGACAATTAACTCAAGCTATTAATGCAAAACAAATTAACTAGATTAAAAATTAGTTGCGATTAATCGTAGTTTTAATTGCACTGTTAATAATAGAATAATAATTTATATTATAAATATTTTTGGATATTTTTCTACATTTTCAAATATATTGATTTCAATTACAGCACACAATACAAAGTGTACAAAGTGTACAGGGCTTTATATTATTTTTATTACAAATATTTGCACTGTAAAAAAAGATAAATTGTATTTTTCAATTTACCTAATACAATTACTGTAGTGCAATCTCTTTATAGTGAAAATGCAACTTACATACGTAGATTTTTTTTTACATAACAAAAACAAAACAATGTAAAACTTTAGAGTCTACAAGTCCACTCAGTCCTACTTCTTGTTCAGCCAATCACTAAGACAAACAAGTCTGTTTACACTTACAGGAAATAATGCTGCCCGCTTCTTATTTACATTGTCACCTGAAAGTGAGAACAGGCATTCGCATGGCACTGTTGTAGCTGGAATTATAAAAAAAAACAACCCTCTGTTGGTGGCATCTGACTCAGATGACAAAAATGAACATGCATTGGTCCAGTCCGCTTTGGATTGTTATCGAGCAGAACTCATCATCAGTATGGATGCATATCCTCAGGAATGGTGGTTGAAGCATGAAGAGACATATGAATCTTTAGCACATCTGGCACGTAAATATCTTGTGAAGCTGGTTACAACAGTGCCATGCGAACGCTTCTTCTCACTTTCAGGTGACATTGTAAACAAGAAGCGGGCACGATTATCTCTGGCAAATGTAATCAAACTTGTTTGTCTAAGCGATTGGTTGAAGCAGGACTGAGTGGACATGTAGGCTCTAAAGTTTTACATTGTTTTATTTTTGAATGCAGTTATTTTTCTGTACATAATTCTACATTTGTAAGTTTAACTTTCATGATAAAAAGATTGAAGATGTGAATTACCCAATGGTCCCAACCACATGGTAGAAGTGGGATATTCTCTCCAATTCTGCTCCTCCCCTCCTCCCCCTCCCCAATCTTTTTCAGGGACCCCTCCCATGAGCAACTCCTTATCCAGGAGGTGCAATCACTTCTTGCCATAGGGGCAGTGGAGGAGGTTCTTCAGGAACTAAGGGGAAATTGCTTCTACTCCCATTATTTCCTAATCTCCAAGGCAAAAGGGGGTCTCAGACCCCTTTTAGACCTGCGAGGACTCAACCAGTTCATGGTGAAGTTGAAGTTCCGCATGATCTCCCTGAGCACTATTATCCCTTCCCTGGATCCGGGAGACTGGTATGCCGCACTCAACATGAAAGACGCATACTTTCATATAGCCATTCGACCTGCGCACAGATGTTTTCTCTGGTTTGCGCTCAACCACAAACACTATCAGTTTACGGTCCTCCCATTCGATCTGTCAACAGCCCCCCAAGTATTCATCAAGTGCATGTTGGTCGTAGCAGCCTTCCTCCGGAGGAGGAGGCAGGTGCAGGTATACCCATACCTAAACAACTGATCTGTGAGAGAAAAGCCAGCAAAGGGGGGCGGCTATTAAGAGCTATTGTATCAGTAGTTGAAGACAAAAAACTCTTAACCGTTGTGAGTGGTCATTTGGGAATCAACCATGTCCCTTAAGGATACTTGAAAACATCCTGGTTCCAACAGATTTTTCACAGCTCCAGTATGAACATTTTCTTAAATTCATAAAACAAAACAAATTATTATTCACTAACCTGATCCGAGCTCAGCTGTGAAGAACCATCTTGAAATACCATAGTAACCACCAGAGCTACTGCCTCTTTTATAGTTGTGATTAACTGGCTTTTTTCCTCATATCCCAAATTTCTGATGTCACAAAACGTTTTTTCAGGTGATTCTGCTTGTTCAGAAGCCCAATCAGACTTTGTTTTATGTGAATTAACATCTTTCTTCACTGGTAACCACCGTTCCATCTTGTATGAACAATAAGTAGATATATCCTGCTTCCTTTTAAGACTGGTGATGTTATTATTTTCACTATCCCTATTTTTCTTTCTTTGTACTGACGAGTTTCTCTCTTTATTGTCCCATTTTGTTAGGTCTACATCCTGGTAATTTATAAAAGTGCTCATATTAGAAGTGAGCAATACTGAGCTCACTATTTTGGTGTTTTGATTACAGAACATTTTGTCCATAAGTTCTGTACTGGCTAACTGACTATTATTTTTTGCAGTGCTGGTATTCATATTTAATGATGCAGCTATAGAATCATGCATCTCCTGGAAGAACCAGACATTTTTTAGTGGATAAATTATTCACCTTTTTATTATAGGTCAGAAAATTAAACAAATATCAATTTAACATTTCCTGAAAAGCTTTTCAAAATGATTTATGCAGAAAAAACACAAAAATGTTGATATTGTCTTACTTTCATTTTAAAATAATAGAACTCATACAATGCATCAGGCAGATTTAAGATAGTATATTCAATTTAACAAGACTATATAACAAAGAGAAAACACTATAAAGACTAAATATGCATCCCTTTAAAAAAATCACTCTGCACCTTTATATTATTTGTAATAAAAAATTACTATTATTTTTCAATTGTTGCTGTTGGGGTCATATTTAAGTGAATTACAGGGCTCATGGAAAGTGCAAAGTTAACAGCCTACTGACTGCAAAACTGGTATTAGCAGCTGCTGTACAAGCTTCTCTATCATCCATATTAAAGTGCTTCATCCATGACCTGAAAAGGCAGTCTTCAGAGGCCAAATGGAACTTTATTTTCCATGCCTATTCACTCTTTTGCCTCATTTATCAAGCAGGGTACCAAAAATGTGACTTTAATTTCTCCTTCCTCAGCTTATTCCTCGGCTCCCTAACTTCAAAGTTATGAAACCAATTCTCTGGCCTGAGACTACACACTCTGCGAACAAGTTGATAACCAAACACAATTAACAGAAAAATCTGTCTTCTTGTATGTGGCTTATCTGCCATCAATGTAGCTAATGGTTCTGACTGATAGTATCTGGTTAGGGAAGAAGACAAACTGAATGAATCTGAAGTGAATGGAGTGGGGGGCACTATAAAGAGTTTGCCCCAACCACCATTCCCAATCATATGTGCTGGAACTAGGGATTCTGCTGTGCCCCCGCCTTAAAGTGGTTTCCATTATATAAAGGGTTTACAGTTTGGTTCAATAGCTCTCAGTACTCCCACTATAAAAATTGTTCCAGCACCCCTGTTCCCAATAGGACACCACTAAGGCTGAAAGAGAGGGAATAGTCTTAGCATGACACCCAAACATTCAATCAGCTGATACAGTGGAGTGCATTCTACTGCCAAATAGCAAGCAGAGAGTCCTACATTTTTTGTGTTCACTTTGTGTGCATGTAAAATTGAATTATGACACTGAAAGTATTACACATAAAACTGTGGGTGACAGTTCTCCTGAAAAGGCTCAAAGGCAGACCAACAGACAAAATGATTAATTTATGTTTTCAAAATGTCATTTTGGGAGGAAAGAAAGGAGGTTTGACTCATGAATTCTGAACACTTGGGGCTGGCAATACTGTAATCCTGACTGTTCCAGGCTATGGCTCCTAGGGTAAAAAAGTGTTCCTGCTGGATACAGGAAGCAGAAATTTGGGCATGTCTCCTTTCCTCCTCTGCTCACTATAGTCCTCCTTCTGCTAGTTAGAATATACTCCTTTGAGTGTGTTTATTTTGGGGGTGGGATGGGGCTGACTCCACATGCATAATATACCTTTTCCACTCATCTCCTATGGCTGACTACAGCTATGTCCCCAAGAGCCACAGAGAAGCAAGGTAAACATAGTCCCCATATTACACTAGTGGTGGAAATAAATGGCACCTCAAAAGTAATACCAGCTTCTTCCTGGAGAAACAGCTAGAGACAACTTGGGAGTCATTAGAGTGAGCTGACAAAGGAGGCAGAACTGGAGCCAAGACTCCTCCGGCTAACTGGATGACAGAGGTAAGACAGAAAGCTAGAGGAAGAATGCATATTGTCCAAATGGGTGATTGATAATATACACACAGTTTATGTTAATAAAATTTATGGTGGAAAATAAAATTTAACAACATAAAAAGTACATTTTTAAAACTTTTCCCTTATTTTTTACTTTTACAATATACTTGCCTCTTCATTTTCCAAAGTGATTTTCTTTTCCGTGAATTTATACTCATTCATCTTCTCATTATTACCTTAAAAGAATAAAAAATAAAAAAGGCATTTGTATACTATAGCCAGAGGTGGCAGCAATGCCTATGGCTAAGATCTCCAAAAACTTTCCTTTATAAGACCCTATTTTCAGTTGCTTTTAACTTCACCAAACTTAAAGCATTTGCACTGAAATTTTCCCTGCCATGTGTATGCTTCAGGCTGATGTTTTTTTTTAAGATTGTGTTAAAATGATTCAGCTGTTTCCTAGGATAATTATAGGGGAAAATACATTTTTCCCATGTTGAAAAAAACCTGCACAACTTCACTGAGATGCATTAATACCTCCATGCGCTGTTGCAAGGGCTTGACATTTGGTAGAGGTCAGTCTCTGGTGTTAAGGATGTGCATTTTCCCATTCATGTGAAAAATCCACTCACATTTGGGCAAGTTATAAGCATCTGAAAAATCACAATTCACATACAATTCTAACCCATAGAGGCTGGCAGCTTTATTCTCCAAAGAGTCCTCCTTCATCAAGAGGCTCCATTCGTGCACACAAATCCTGTGTGTCAACCAGACTGCGCATGCTTCATCCCCACAAAGTGCCTGAGCATGCCTTATCCCAGAAAAACTTATCCTAGGACTGAGCAGGATTTTATTTACAACTGATCCTTCTGGCAGCAGGCGGTGCACTTTGGTGCTAGGCACCAGAACTGAGAGCAAGGAAATTCTCTTTCCTCTGCTCTCAACACCTGCTTACCAGAGCTCAAGACAGATGGAGGAACAAGAACAATCTGCATCAAATGCAAAGGGATGAGAAGCAGGGGTAGGCTAGGAGAGGTTAGAACAGAGGGGAAACAAGGACAGGAGCCAAGGTAGTTGATAGGAAGCAAGGAGAACAAGGATAGACGCCAACAGAACAGGAGCAGAAGGGGGACAGGGACAAGCCTAAAGGATGAACAGGGACAGAAGGGTATATAACTTCTAGAGAACATCTCCCTCCAAAACCTGGAATTGAAACTGGTATTCCAGAGTCTCAGCATTCTTCTGCTGTCTAGTAAATAGACATGAAACCTACTGGCAAAGTGCACATGCCAGCCCCTTTAAGTTGCTGGTCCAGAGGATAACAACTTACTACCATTACCAACTACTTAGTTAGCTCAAGTGATAAAGGTCTGTGCCGTGTATTTAAATATCCCCACCCTGCTAATGACCCATGTGGGGATTAGCACCATTCCACATGATGGAATTTTTTTTTCCAGTTTGCTGAATTAAATTGTTTCAAAAAAATTATTGGCAGAGTGAACGAGGCCCTATACTCAACTCGATAGAATTTCTCAGTTTGTCCATAAGTAACCCAATAACTTTGGAGAACCGTATTTGATCGATTCCAAAATTTCAAGGAAAGTTCTGAGCAGAACTCTATTGATTTGGGGGCGGGGGGGG